CAAAAGTCAACCAAACGAAATTCGTCAGTTTGTTTCAATGGGTCTAAAGCCCAACTCTACCCACCATACATCCACTCTCCTTCTATCAAAAGATTACATTCATAACATGCTAAACCAACTTGTTTTCCAGGCAAATGTTGGGGCAAATCAGTCAAGATGACTCATTATTATACAGGTCCTCATCCTCAGTCCTCAGTTCTTCGCAATCTTCCTTCGAACTGTGGCTTCTGCTCATTGGCGAGCCAATTCCACTGCTACCCGACGTCATTCCGGTGCTCATGCTCAAGTCCTCTGGTTCAGTTTGTTCGGGTTGCTGAATTTCCAGCGGCGAGCTGATGATGGGATCAATTGGCGGGTGCAACCGCCTCACGTTCGCAGTGGAGACAGTCGGCTCGGGGCTGGTGGCGGCTTTGGGCCCTTCAGGGGCGGTGCTCTCTGCCTTGATGGCGGGGCACTTGTGTTGGGCGGCGTGGTGCCTCCTCTTGAACCGCCCGTGGCACAGCTCACAGTAGAAGGGTCGCTCCCCGTTATGGATCAGAAGGTGCGCCTTCAATTGGTTTGTGTCCGAAAACTTCGATGCACAATGTTTGCACGAATAGGGCCGTTCGCCAGTATGCGTCCTAACATGTCTGCGCAAATTCGCCACTTGCACAAACAACTTGTCACAATGATCACACCGGTAGGGTCGTTCTCCCGTATGCAGGCGCATATGGGTTTTGAGATGGTGATCCCTGGTGAACTTCTTCTTGCACTCGGTGCACTGGAAGGGCTTCTCGCCCGTGTGGGTTCGCTCGTGGTTCTGCAGCACGTGCTTGTATCCAAAGGAGCGGTTGCACACCAGGCAGGTGAACTGCTTGTCTTTGCTGGCGTCTTTTTGCTCGCTGCCCGATTGAGGCGACAGGCTGTTTACGGGCGAGTGGGCCGCAGTGCTTTTGCTGCTGAACTCCTCCACAGGGTCCCAGCTGGGCATCGGCGACTTTGAGGGCTTGATGTGGTTGTTGTTGAGGTTTGCTCGGCGTTTGCGCGTCTTGAGAGGATGGGAGGCGGGTTCCTCCGGCATGTTTGCGGGTAAAGCGGGGTCGGTCCACGATGCGAATCCGTAGCAGGGTTGGCCGGAGTGTGATAGCGACATGGGGGAAGTGGCGGGTATACCAGCTACCGCCAGCTGATGCCAAAAGACGTTCTGAATTTGCGCATACATCTCGGCCGCTTTCTTTTGGCTCTCCATAGCCGGGATCGGACGGTAAGTGTTGAAAACTGCAAACGAAAGAAAACTGATCTTAGATCTGTGAAATGACTCAAGAAGTTTGGGGGGCCAACAAAGGTAACGCGATATAAATATATGGCTGCCGCAGCCGATCGCGCATATGGCCTTTTGAGTCCATTATTGCGCTTCGTTCTTGCATGATATGTCCAAACACCCCCATTTCTCAAGCCGATTGACAATGGGGGCTTAAGACGTTGTATACATAATGGCAAAGACGTTCGGTTTTACATTACGGCGCGCTTGAACGGTTTTATTGAAGGATCTGTGCCGTTTTGTGTCATTTTCCTGGCGAATGTCGGAAAAATGTACCTACAAGCGTGCCCGAACCGTGATCGAACAGATTTATTAATGGTCTTTATCTGATTGTGCTGCCTGGTTCCAAAGGGCTTTTTTTCGGGGCAACAGTGTCTATTAGATGGGCGGCTGTTTGAATACGTTATACTAGCAAACGATTGTGTCGTTGAAGAGTTGATCATTCAGGCATGGTTCGGGCCGTGTGGCATTTGTTTATTTATGTGTTGGGCACCAGTTGCATAAAGAGGGATTTGTTTGGTTGTTTTGCAAATATTTGCGCATGTTGAACAACGAAAGTAAAGATGTTCAGCAACTTGTTCCCATAGTGTCTAGGAAGTTTTTTTTGTAGATTTTCATCAGCAGAAAATCGAGTAACTCAAGATGATTCACTAAATTGTTTCTGCTTGTGTTTCATTTGAGGTTTTCGAATGCAAATTTAAACTAATCAAACAAGAACTTTAAGTGGTTATAACTTGATTAATTTACATACAACCCCATGTTTTTTAGCTTACCAGGAAATGCAATTTTTAATTACCTATCGAATGGTACTTGGATGTTGATAAC